GGTCAAACACAACCCTGATGCTGCCCTCAATGAAATCAAGTTTGACACCCCCTGCTTTTGAGCTTATATGGAGTTGCTTTGATCCAAGGCGAATTTCTTTGAAGCCGTATTTGATGCTTTAAAAATGATGCCTGCGGTATTATATGCACACAGGTGCAAACATGTACTGCATATTTCAGATCTGCCTGATGTAAAACCTAAATGACTGATGCAACTTGTCTCCTTTATAAAGGGTCTCTCTTTCCTCATCATGGCACGTTTGAGGTCATAAAAAACACCGACATTGATCTGGATAAAAAGATTCCCGATGATTACTGCCCTCTCGCTGTTCAGATTCCAAGCGACTTGGAAGGGTCTGCCTACATTAAGGTTTGTCAAAGTTATCTGTTCATGCATTGGTTTGCTTAAAAAGCCTAGAAGAAGGAAACAGAACCTAAAATTGTTTTGTTTTGTTTTTAAACGTTTAGGTATCTATTCAGAAACAAGCACCGGATATAGGGGACCTTGGGATAGTCAATCTGTTTAAAAAACCTATCATGAAATCTAAGCCAGGTATTGTTTCAGAACGTTCATTGTTATATTTCAAAGAAGCATACTTTGAAAAAGATGCCGTACAAGGAGCCCTCAATTTACAATCACAAATTGGGATTAGAATTACCATTACTAAGCAAGTCAGCTGTTAAATGAGTCCTAGCCAACTTTGTCCCAAAATGCTTTTTCAGGAGGCAACTGGACTTTTTGGGGTGTTTCACACACACACACACACACACACACACACACACACACACACCATTTTTCTTTGAAGACGTTTCGCTTCTCATCCAAGAAGCTTCTTCAGCTCTGGCTGGATGGTGGGGAATGGAAGGATTTATACTCCTTGCAGACAGCTGGTCATTTGCATTCTTCTAGAGAGTTGTTGAGGCCACCTGGAGGTTTACCTGTGAATTCAGGATCACTCAAGTAGTGCCTATGGGTGTGGAGCCTTCTTGGAGCTGCTGAAAGCTGTGCATATGGTGTGGAGCTCTGCTTTTGGGAAGATGTTTTCTGCCCTGTGTCCTTTCACCGTTGAGTACAGGCGTAGGCTGTTGGGGATGAGTCTGTGTTGTCGGCATCTCAAACTGAAGCGCAAATGGTTCCTGTAGTCTGCAATGCGTTTCTGGAAATCCGTTCATTCCTCCTGCATCGTTCGAAAGGTTTTCATCCCAAAGTGCCTAGCTAAATGTCTGGATAGTCTCAGCCATCCATTCTTTGAAAAAATAAAGTGGGGGGGGGGAACCAAAGTCCAGTAGCCTTTGAACAGCCCTTTCTTAACAGAAGCGGAGGGATACATCATCCTCTATCTCCAATTTACAACAGAGTTCTTTCAACAGTTCCAAGAAGGCTCCACACCCATATGCACTACTCTGAGGACACAGATAAACCTCCAAATGGACTCAAGGACTCACTAAAAGGATGCAAATGACCAGCTGTCTGCAAGGAGTATAAATCCTTCCATTCCCCACCATCCAGTCAGAGCTGAAGAAGCTTCTTGGGTGAGAAGCAAAACATCTTCAAAGAAAAAGTCCAGTGGCCTCTTGAAAAAAGCACCTTTGGGACAACCATGACCTGGGCGACTGAGAATCTCCATAGACATAGCCAATTTTATTACCTTTTTGTCAGCAAATCACTGCAGTCGTTCAGTGAATCTTATGGTCACTGAGCAAATCCAGCTCTCCCTATTGGCGTTGCTTGTCAGAAGTCAGGTGCGAGGGTCACAAGTGGCGGTCTCGTAACCCTGAGACACTGCAACAATGGTGAATACATGCCAGTTGCCAAACACCCAAATTATATTCGTGCGACTATGGGGATGGATGCAACAGTTATAAGCCAGGGTCCGTTGTGATTTTGAGTGTTCGCTAAACAAAATGGTTGTAAGTTGAGGACTATACTGCAGGGGTCCCCAAACTTGGCAACTGTAAGACTTGTGGACTGACTGGGGAATTCTAGGAGTTGAAGTCCACAAGTCTTAAAAGTTGCCAAGTTTGGGGACCTCTGCTCTACTGCTTTGGGGATATTGAAAAATGTTTTGCACACTAATTTGAACAAGAATGTTATAATTGCAAGCAAAAAGAACACATTTTGCTTTAGTGGACAGGGGAAAAATATATATATTGTCATCTTTCTTCCCTCTTTTAAGACATTTTTTTTTGCAAATACCTTGAAGGTGCCAATGCTTATGAATGCTTATATCCCCCGGGGTCAAAGTGCAAAGACCAGATTCTCTATTAGAAATCAGGAATTGCTTTGGAAGCATGTCCTGTTTAAACTATAGCAACAGACTTATATATCTCTCCACAGTGCTTTTACAGAGTGGGTCCCCAACCTTGCCAATTGTAAGACTTGCAGACTTCCACTCCCAGAGTTCCCCCAGCTGGCAGGTTCATTTTCTGTTTTTACCGATTTGTACGTAACAAGGATTCTCTTATTCAGGGGCTCTGCATTGGCAAACCAAGCTGGAGACCGCCCAGAACGTCCTGTTGTGTAAAGAAATCTTTGCTCAGCTTTCTCGGGAAGCCGTGCAAATCAAATCGCAAGTTCCTCACGTGGTGGTGAAGAACCAAATCATTTCCCAGCCCTTCCCAGGTGAGATATAAGATAGTATGAGAAAAGGTGAAGTGGATCCCCTTGTTTGTTTGAAGGGATAGACAAGATTCCGTTTGAAGTGCATTTGAAGCATTTTATTTAGTTCAATATCTCCATTATTCTGGCTCCTCGGTGCTACTGTTTCTGTCCATGTAGATACGGATGACGCAGATACATGACATGGACTGATTTTAACCAAACTATTGATCCATCCATCCATCCTTCCATCCCTGCCTCCCTTCCTACCCTTTCCTTCCTTCCCTCCCTCCCTCCTTCCCTTTCCTTCCCTCCTTCCCTTCCTCCCCTCCCTTTCCTCCCTCCCTTCCCTTCTTCCTTTCCTCCCTCCTTCTTCCCTTTCCTTCCTTCCCTCCCTCCCTTCCCTCTCCTCCCTTTCCTTTCCTTTTTTCCCTCCCTCCCACTCCCTCCTTCCCTTCCCTTTCCTTCCCTTCCTCCCCTTCCTTTCCTTCCTTCCCTCCCTCCCTTCCCTTCTTCCTTTCCTCCCTCCTTCTTCCCTTCCCTTCCTTCCCTCCCTTCCCTCTCCTCCCTTTCCTTCCTTCCTTCCCTCCCTCCCTTCCTCCCCTCCCCTTCCTTTCCTTCCTTCCCTCCCTTCCCTTCTTCCTTTCCTCCCTCCTTCTTCCATTTCCTTCCTTCCCTCTCCTCCCTTCCCTTCCCTTCCTTCCCTCCCTTCCCTCTCCTCCCTTTCCTTTCCTTCCTTCCTTCCCTCCCTCCCTTCCCTTCTTCCTTTCCTCCCTCCTCCTTCCCTTTCCTTCCTTCCCTCCCCTCCCTTTCCTTTCCTTCCTTCCCTCCCTCCCTCCCCTCCCTCCTTCCCTTTTCTTCCTTCTCTCCCTTCCCTTCCTCCCTCCCTCCCTCCCCTTCCTCCTCCCCTTCCTTCCTTCCCACCTACCTCCTACCTACATTTACCTTTATATTTAAGAAATCAATGGCTATGTATAGACAACCAGAATGCAATAACACTACAACATGCAGTTCACACCCAGTGGCATACACATTTTTGCTTTTCATTTTTTTTTTTTTTAGGATTGCAGCTCTGCATTTCCTTGTGTCACTCCTCAGAAGACAAGAAATCTCAAAAATCTAACTCTGAGAAACAAGGCCCAGAGGATCATCTTTATGTTCTGGAGCATAATCTGCACCAACTAATCCGAGAGGTAAGCAACTTAACTCCAGCGGAGTTTTGAGTTCAGATTCTCCCCTTCTTTCACTGAATGTCTTGTGAAGCTTTTAGGGGTACAAACATATTTCATGTTCAACATGTTCCTAAAAGCGGAACATCTTGCAGGTGCTGAACATAGCATGACCTCGGAGCAACCTGTTTTTATGTCAGCTGTGAGATTGGACGTAGAAGGAGGAGTGTGTGGCAGCAGCTTATGCCTTTGTGTCTCCTTAAGGACCCCATTATTGAAGGATTTACGAGTTGGCCCTTTTAAAAGAGCTTTGACTACAACTGAATTCATGATGGTATCAGTAAATCTAAAGGAAGAAAAAAGAAAAAACATAGGAAAATCCCACAACAGGCTCAGCAGTAGATTGGCAGAATTTAGAATGGAGCGGCAAGGAACATCAACATATGAGCCACGGTGGCACACAGTGGTTAGACTGTAGTATTGCAGGTTACTTCTGCTGCCTGCCGGCTGCCTGCAATTTGGCAGTTCGAATCTCACCAGGCTCAAGGTTGACTCAGCCTTCCATCCTTCCGAGGTGGGTAAAATGAGGACCCAGATTGTTGGGGGCAATAGGCTGACTCTGTAAACTGCTTGGAGAGGGCTGTAAAGCCCTGAAAAGCGGTATATAAGTGCTATTGCTATATCTGAGCGATGAGCCAAGTCCTCAGTAGCGATCCCAGGGCAGTGAGCAATTGAGGAGCAACCCAGAAAACCAACATTTAGAAGAAGCCAAAATTGCTTTGTCCCGTGGGAAGCCCAGGATTCTTGCAATGCAGAATGTTCCATTGTGTGGGTAGAAGAACCGAGCGCTGCCATTCAGAGAAAAGGTTCTGAATACCAACTATCCTTATCTCTTTAAGGATCAAGTCCAGAGATTAACATCATGGAACATTTTGCATATACAGGTTTATCCTCGATTTATGACCACAATGGAGCCTGGAATTTCCAGCGTAAGTCATGACAGTAGTAACTCCCCTTGACTTACACAACCCCAATTTTATGACATTTATTGTGGCAGTCGTTAAGCAAACCCTATGGGTCATCCAGAAAAGGCTGCTGTAATTCTTCGATGTAAACAACAAAGGTCGTAAAATGGGGCAAAGCTCACTTAGCAACTGTCTTGCTTCGCAACAGAAATTTTGGGCTCAATTGTGGTTGTAACTGACAGAGTTGGTATGAGTTGGCTTTCCTCCTTGGTAGTTCTTTGATTAGGACATTGTTTTCTGCCCGATTGTTTGCATCCTGTTAAGACCTGCTCATCTGAGTGTTGGCTGCTGAAGAGGATTTCTTTTTGAATGGTGTGTATATGTGGTTTACCTCTGTGTCTATGGATGGCTGGTTATGGGAGTGCTAATCTTCCAGGAATTTCCTAGCAATTTGGATTTGGACCTTCAGTTCATTGACAATCCATTGATCTCCCTCTGAGCAATGCCCCTCCCCAGTAGGTATAATACAGGTAGTCCTCGACTTACAACAGTTCCTTTAGTGACCGTTCGAAGTTACAACTGCACCAAAAAAAGTGACTCATTACCATTTTTCACAATTGGGCCCCCCGCAGAATCCCCATGATCATGTGGTTGACATTTGGGGTTTGACATCTGATTCATATTTATGACGGTTGCAACGTCCCCGGGATCGTTTGATCCCCTTTTGCGACCTACTGAGAAGCAAAGCCAATGGGGAAGCTAGATCCCACTCAACAACGGCGTTCACTAATTTAACAACTGCAGTGATTCACTTAACCAATGAGGCAAGAAAGGTCTTCAAACGGGGGGAAACTATTGCTTAGCAAATTTCTCACTTAGCAACATAAGTTTTGGGCTCAGTTGCGATCGTAAGTCGAGGACCACCTGTATATCTATATCAGAATTTCCAGGGCTTGGGAGGATTTGCTGTTCTGTTAAAACAGACTACAAGTGCCTTGTTTAGTGATGGAAATTCTGGTCTACTTCATCTGTGGCCGTGATGGCGAACCTATGGCATGTGTGCTGGAAGTGGCATGCAAAGCCACTTCTGCCGGCATACGATGGTCGCCCGGAAGAGCCCACTGTGCATGCATGTGCGACACCTGCCCGACAGCTGATTCTTGGGTATCTGTGTGAGCCTCTGTGGCGCAGTACTGCAAGCTACTTCGGCAGCCAGCTGCCTACAATTTGGCAGTTCAAATCTCACCAGGCTCAAAGTTGACTCAGCCTTCCATCCTTCCGAGGTGGGTAAAATGAGGACCCAGATTGTTGGGGGCAATAGGCTGACTCTGTAAAACTGCTTAGAGGGGGCTGTAAAGCACTATAAAGCGGTATATAAGTCTAAGTGCTATTGCTACCTGGCGTACATGCGCGGAAGACGTGCACACACGTGCAGAGGCTCACGGGTGCACGGGGGGCTCTCGCGTGCATGCGCAGAGATGCGTCGCATGGGGAGGTCCCACAAGGAGCTTGCGCATGTAGTGCGCGTGCAATTTTAGGCACGCGAGCTGAAAAAGCTAGTTAGCCACCGTTGGTCTATGGTAAAAGCCAGTTAATGTTGTATGAACGATTACCTTGCTTTTTCCTCCCACAGTTTCACAAGCAAACCCTGAGCAGCAACATGATGCCTCATCCAGCGAGCGCTCCTTTCGGCCACAAAAGAATGAGGCTGGCAGGGCCTCAGGCTTTTGATAAAAATGAAATCAGCTCCTTGCAACCCAGTGAGGGGCTGCTGGAGAAGATCATAAAGCAGGCGAAGCACATCTTTCTCAGACGCACGTAAGTAGCCCCCCCCCCCCCCCCGCCTGTTGGGGCCCGTCGGCTGCCAGCAGAGCTAGCCGCAGAGTCAGACAAGGAGAAGGTTGAGGGGGAGACTGGGACAGCTTCGGAGCCTTTGGAAAGCTCTGATAAGGAAACCACATCGGAGACAGAGGCAGGCCTGTGGCCTTCCGTCCTCCCCCAGGTGGAGAGGAAGCTGTCTTCAGGGCCTGAGCTGATTAAGGGGGAGGAACAGATGGGGCCCATCCCACATGTGCATATGTGTATAGAAGAAAGGAGAGGAGAGCAAAGGAAAACAATAAGCCGGCTCTCAGGGAAAGGCAGACGCAGGTGCTAGCCAGCCCCTCCCTGGCTGGGAAATCAATAGGGCAGTGGTGGCTAACCTTTTTAAGCTCCTGTGCCAAAAATTATGTGCGCGTTCGTGTGCCAGCACCCAGAACGCAATGCACACGCCCCCCTCACACCCCCTATGCATGCCCGCGCCCTCCCCCCCCCCCCGCCGCCGCCCCCTTACCTGCCCCTCCCCCCCACGCCTGTTTTTTTGCCGGTTTGAGGCCTTTTTCGGCCTCCCACAGGCTTTGAAAAAAGCCTCTGGAGGCTTTGGAGGCCGAATAATAGGCCCCTTTCGTCACTTCCAGTATTACAGGAAGTGATGTGATGAAACGGGCCTATTATTCGTCCTGCAAACCTGCAGAGGCTTTTTTCAAGCCTCTGGGAGGCCGAAAAAGGCCTCAAACCAGCCGAAAAATCAGCTGTGAGGCGTGCGCATGCGCAGTGAGGTAAGTTAGCCTGTGGCTCGCGTACTGGCACAAATGGCTCTGCATGCCACAGGTTCGCCATCACGGAAATAGGGGTTTGGGAGTGGCCAGTTGTCGCAGACAACCGTTCATCTTCTAGCATACAGCAAGCCATTCGGATTGCTTGGCCAAACCCAGGTTGGTTGGGACTACATTAATGGGTGTTACAAACGGTAATTGTTAAGTGAATCATGTGGCCGTTAAGTGAAACTTGCTCCCTTCCCACACTGACCTGCTTGTCGGAAGCCACCTAAGAAAGTTACAAACGGTGATCCCATGACCCCAGCACAGTGGAACTGTCATCAATACATGCCAGTTGCCAATTTTGATCATGTGATCATGGGGACGATGCAGCAGTCCATAAGTGTGAGAACCATCACTTGTTTTTTTTCAATGCTGTAACTTCGAATTGTCGCGTGGGAAGCCTGCCTCCCTTCTTCTTGTGCCATTACTGTCATCGGAGGCGATCATGTTGGTGAGCCTATTTTTATCAACAGCCGTATGAAAAAGTGCTGTTGGGTTTTGTCCAATCTCTTAGATTTTGAAGCCTTGATGGGGGTTTTTTCTGCCTGGACCATGTTTGCCTTCAATTTTTCTCCCAACAGTCACTAAATGAATGGTTGTAAGTCTAGGACTACCTATTCATGACAAAGCTAGGGAATTCCGTGAAGTATTCAGCAATAAAAGGAACCGTGATTGATTTGGGAATATCCGTTAGGAAGCAAATACACTTAGTATAAAACAATGGCAGGTTTTGGTAGCTTTGCAGGATATTTTTGAGCCAGAGTTTTTCAAACTTGGCAACTTGAAGAGGTGTGGATGCAAATACAATCAAATGAAGTTTATTAAAAGTCAGAGATGAGAACAAATAAAAATACTTTGTGAATATCCAGTTAAAAATTCTAGAATCTATAATTTAAAATTTATATAAAAGAGAAATACCACTCACGCATCATCACAAAATCTCCAGAACCATAAAGCTTACAAACTTGAAATTTGGCACGTATGTTCCTCTTGGCTTCTAGGTGCTCACTAAGAAAGGATTTTTTGAAATGACCATCAGAGCATTAGTACCGTGTTTCTCATAAAATAAGGCCGGGTCTTATATTTTTTTGAGCCCCGAAAAAACGGCTAGGCCGTCTTTTCGGGGGTGATTTAATTCCCCCCCTTGGATCCTCATCTAGAGCGCCCCACCAGCCTCGCCACCAGCCGCTCCTAACGGGTGACCATGGCGAAGCGCAGAGAGCTCCCTACTCCCACCAAACACCTTTGCTGCAGACCCAAGACCTTTGGCACCCGCCGCTGTTGCTTTCCCTTCTGCCCATTCCGCCGCCACGTTTGGAGCTGCCGCTTCCGTGTTTGAAGTGCCGCTGCCATTTGGAGTGCCGCCGCCATTTAGAACACTGCCGCCACATTTGGAGCTGCCGCTTCCGTGTTTGGAGTGCCGCTGCCATTTGGAGTGCCGCCGCCATTTGGAGCACCGCCGTCATGTTTGGAGCTGCCACTTCCGCGTTTGGAGCTGCTGCCGTGTTTGGAGTGGCGGCGGTGCTCCAAATGGCAGTGGTGCTCCAAACAGCGGCAGTGCTCCAAACGCGGAAGCGGCAGCTCCAAACGCAGCGGTAGCTCCAAATGCGGACATGGCAACTCCAAACTGCGGCAGTGCTCCAAACGTGGAAGTGGCAGCTCCAAACAGCAGCGGTGCTCCAAACAGCAGTGGTGCTCCAAACGTGGAAGTGGCAGCTCCAAACGCGGCGGCGGCATGGGCAGAAGGGAAATGAACAGCGGCGGGCGCTGAAAGTCTTGGGTCTGTCGCAAAGGTGCTTGGCAGGAGTAGGGAGCTCTCCGAGCTCTGCCATGATCGCCCATTAGGAGCAGCTGGTGGCGAGGAATTGCTGCCCGCGGGGCGCTCCTAACGGCAAGTCCCCCCGCCCTTCCCCCCATTTTGCATGTTTTAAAATAGGCCTAAATTTGGGGGGAGGGATGGGGAATCTTTTATGGCTCACTCAGGAATTCTGGGAGTTGAAGAGTCCATAAGTGATAAAAGAGCCAAGTTTCCCTACCCCTGTTCTAGTCTACTTTATATACAAAGTGAACCAAAGAGACAGTTCATTATAAAAGAGTAACCTATAATTCTTCTCTCACCTTGTTGTAAACTAAAACTCTGGTGGGGTTTTATTTCCTTTTAGGACTGCCCGGACGATCGACAGTCTTGCCAGCCGTATCGAGGATCCTCAAATTCAAGCCCACTGGTCCAACATCAACGACGTGTACGAGTCGAGTGTCAAGGTCCTCATCACCTCCCAAGGTTACGAGCAGATCTGCAAGTAAGTGCCTTTTTTTTTCTAGCAGAAAAATTACAGGCAATCCGTGACCTTTGACCTTAATGGGAGCCTACCCAGGGTGGGCTGCTGGGGGTTCACAGGGGTTTGGGAGAGCCCCTAGCTAAGATTCTGTGCAGTTCGGAGAACCCCACAAATTCCAATCCTGGCTGGCCCCGCCCCACCCTGCCCCGTCCCTCCCAGGAGTCTCCACGTGGCCCATTTTGGATGCAGGTAACTGCAGGGTGCGCGTGGAGGCTCGGGGAGGGGCCAAAAAAACAGGCCTCCTGGAAGTTTGGAAAGGCCGGAAACGGGCCCATTTTCAGCTTCCAGAGGGACTCTGGAGCCCGGGGAGGCCTTTTTTCACCCTCCCGGAGGCTCAAGGAAAGCCTCCGGAGCCCCGGGAGGGCAAAATGCCTCCCCGCTGTGGTGCAGGAGGCCGACTGGGCCACGCCCACCATGGCCATGCCCACTCAGCAACCAGGCAGAGAACCCCTTTGCTAAAAATTTTGAAGCCCACCCCTGAGCCGGCCCATCTCAGTTGTATGTTGTGATAGTTGTAAAACAGATCTGTCACTTGACCAATCTGATTTTAACAACAGTTTTTGCACAGTGGTTATTAAGGGAACCAGTATGTCAAGTTCAAAATACGATATTGCTGTCGCAGATATTGCCGCTTTTTCACTTGCCACACAAACTCGGGGAGGGAGGGGGTGGAGAACCCTTTCTGGAATGCCAGTTTGCCTTATGTTTTTATTCTTTATTTCACTATGCTTTTTAAATCCCGTAGCTGTGTGGTTCTGAATATTCTGCATTGACACTAATACAATGGGATAAAAATTTCCCCGTGAGAAGCATTCAGTTGCTAGATAGTATTGCAAATTGCTTTCATTGTGGATATGAAGGCAATTTCCAATACTATCTAGCAAATGAATGCTTCTCACGGGGAAATTTTTTGTCCCGCTATGTTAGTGTTTGACTATGTTTGATTTTATTTCACTTTGATTTAAAGATAATTATGCTTAAATGAATACTTTTTTTTATTAGAGAGCAAGGAAATTTGTTTTTGACATTAGCACCATGTAGTACAACTCCACTTAAAATAATATCTTGTGATTTTCAAAGGTCTATTCAATTGCAATTGAATATTGGCGTTGAACAGATCAGAGTAGTACACAGAGATGGAAGAGTGATCACACTGTCCCATCAAGAACAAGAATTAAAAGATTTTCTTCTTTCTCAGGTAAAAAGCAATATTTTTTTCCCATTCTGGTTTGCATGGACATTTTTTTTTTAGTAGAACTGACTTACTAAGGCAGCAAAGTCCTCATTCCATTATTGTTGTTGTTGTTAGTTGCGAAGTTGTGTCTGACCCATCACAACCCCATGGACAACATTCCTGCAGGCCTTCCTATCTCCACCATCTTCTGGAGTCCATTTAAGCTCACGCCAACTGCTTCAGTGACTCCAGCCAGCCACCTCATTCTCTGTTGTCCCCTTCTTCTATTGCCCTCAATTTTTCCAAGCATTAGGCTCTTCTCCAGTGAGAAGATTATTATTGTAAAAGAGATTGATTAAAATGCCAAGGGTTAAAGAGGTTAACTAAACTGCCAAGTGTTATTTATGTTAGCATAGCTCACAAAATATTTGGTATTTTGAGAGAATGTAACAGAAGCTAAAAAAAAATAAACCAGCTAAAACAGTTTTTGTTTTTAAATTCCAGATGTCACAACATCAGATTCTTGCAGTTCAGCAGCTGGCAAAAGTTATGGGATGGCATGTACTCAGTTTCAGTAACCATGTGGGGCTGGGCCCAGTAGAAAGCATTGGCAATGCATCTGCCATAACAGTAGCATCACCTAATGGAGACTACGCTGTTTCAGGTATTGTATTAGAGAGTTTTCCCCAAAATACGACCTATCCCGAAAGTAAGTCCTAGCTTGATTTTTACATGTGTGCCCAATATAATAAGCTCTACCCCCCCCCCCCAAAAAAAATGAAGATATTGCCACTCCAGGTGGCACAAGTAAAAATTAAGCTAGGGTGGGGATGTGGGGTGGAGCTGTCCTACTACTTACCTTTGGACAGTTACAGCCGGGTCTCGCACACCCCGACACCTTCCTTACCGGTCCATTTCTTCTGCAGCTGGCAAGACTTTTCCTGAAGGCCTCTGCAGCTGATAACAGAGCTTGATCGATCTGGAGCTGTTATCGGCTGCAGAGGCCTTTAGGAAAGCCTTACCGGCTGCAGAAAAAGAAGTTCCTGAAGGCCTCTGACAGCGAAAAGGAGGCGGGGGCGATGCACACAAGGGAAGTGAGTCAGTGGATGGCATCCCCAGAAAATAAGACCTGGTGCCTTCTTTTGGTGGCCAATATATATATATATATATATATAAGACAGGGTCTTGTTTTTGGAGAAACACGGTAATAATTTAACTCATGGAGAATGATACTTCTTCCTGTGCATCACTTAAACATCACTTAGGAATGTTATTTCCTAAAATAGTAAATTCACTACTGTATATTCTGTAATTGCAAGGCTTGTAGAAAAGCTTTTAGGTACAGTAGTCCTAATTTTTATTTACAGATTTGTTTTGGTTACTGTGCAAGCAGTGAATCACTGCGGTTGTTAAGGGAATCACACAGTCGTTAAGCGAATCCAGCTCCCCCCCCCCCCCCCCTTGATTTGCTTGTTGGAAGCCGGTTGGGAAGGTCACAAATGGCGCTCACAAGATCCCAGGATGCTGCAACCTTCATAAATGCATGTTAGTTGCCAAGTACCTGAATTTTGATCATATGACATAGGGTTGAAAGTGTGAGGTCCAGTCATAAGTTACTTTTTTCAGTGCCGTTGTAATTTTGAACAGTGGCTAAACAAATTGTTGTAAGTTGAAGATTGCCTATAGTACAGTGCAGTATGGCATTATGTCCTATACCAATGTTCTTCCCAAAGGAATCCAAAACAGTTTGTAAAAGAACAGAAAAGACCAAAAAAAAGTAAAGCAAACAATTCTAAAATAAAAACTTTAAGAGAGGATTTCGTTGAAGAAGAACAGTCTAAATCAGGGGTCGCCAACTTTTTGGACCTCAGGGACCACCAAACTCATAATTTTAAATCCCACGAATATGAATTTTCACTGACGGTGGCTTGCTGATGTTGGTGGGAAAGTCGGTCCCATATTCCAGAGCTGCAGTAGTCACAGGACTGGTCCTTTGGTCATCCCAGAGTAGCTGCTCCTGCACCTGGGTGCACCAGCCTGCCATGGACTGGAGGAGCTTCTCCGGGATGACCAAAGGGCCAGTCTTATGACTTCTGCAACTCTGGAATATGGGACCAACTTTCCCACTACCGTCAGCAAGCCACTCTGGAGCAGATTTCCCTCCCCCGCAGTTGGTCTTACCTTCCAGTTTCAGCTCGCGTGGCTCTACTGAAGGTAAGGTTTGCGCTTGACCAAAGGGTGGGGGTCAGCGTGTGGGCGGGCCACGTGGGCAGCGCAGCCTGGATTGCTTGGGGGGGGGGACATTTCTCTGCAGACCACCAAAATTTTCT